GTAAAACCAATATTCACAGTACAGAAGTATTCTTTTTTTCTACCCAGGTGTCCCACTGATACAGTTGTCACCCAATCTATATTTCTATCACTCAACTTACTATTATACTACTCTAACTATTAAGCACTACTGCTATGCCTAGAATATCTATTACTATTCCCAGGTACCAATGCTCCTGGCCTTTCCACAAACCTTGACTACTGCTCTCTCTCGCTTCCTTCTGCCTCTCCTATACACACCCAGCAGACTACCACACCCAGCTGTTTGAAACGGGTTTTTAAACAGTCTCTCCCCCATCTGGACGCTGAAGTGCTTTAGAAATAAAGGGGAAGGTATGCAATTTCCAGTTGCCTGCACTCTTTTTACAACCCATCCTTCCATACCATGATTTGCAACATCTTGGATATCTCAAGGGTAAATCTAGGAAAAACTCTCACTTCAGGCATGTGTAGTACTAGATTTAGTAGATGGTGTTCATAAGGAGGAACAAAGAGCCCTTTGTATCAGCTTCTTCCTTGACTGAGGTATTAGTTTATTTGCTACATTACCATTGTTTCTTGCTAATCAAGGAATGTATGGTCTCAAAGAGGAGCTTTTTTGCTTCTTTGGAAGGGGGGGATACAGTTTTATAGAAAATAATAGTGCTAATTTAATAATGTATAACTTAATAATGTAGCATTTTATTTTCTACATTAATGGTCATATGAGTATCTATTTCCCCATTTGGAATTTAGTGAGAATACAGTAACTATTGAACCTCTGAGCTGTGATCAACTGGAGTTGCCATTTCCTACTGTGAAAGCCATTGTTCCCGAACGGCAAGACACAGCATTGAAATCATGGATGAATGGTATAAATTCAAAATGCCTAAGCATTGTATTATTTCTCTGTTGCATTACTTTTCCATCTACACATAAAGGCCCTATTCCAATTCAGACAAAGTATGATTTGAAGGTTTCTGAATTGTTCCATAAATAATTTAAAATCTGTATCACTTGGTTGTGGATACAGACATCAGTAGATTCTAAGCCATACTTTCTATGATTCCTCAATGACAGCCCTTTCTAAGCTAATATTCTCCAGGTGTGTTAGACTTTAACTTTTACAGTCACAAGCAAGAACAGACATGAATGAAATAAGGATGAAGAAGGCTTCTCAATTTTATAGCTCTACGTAGAAATTCAGAATCCTAAGTTTACAAGCCTTGAAGTTAGAGTACAGTATAGATAATATTACTAAATCTGTTACTGATATCAATAATCTAAAGACTGAAAAAATTAAAAGTGAAAGCTAATATGGTATAATGGTTAAGATGCTGGATTATAACTGGGGAGACCCAGGATACAAGTACACCATCAATCATGGGTGACTTTGAGTCAGTTGCTCTCTCTCAGCCCAGTGCATCTCACTGAGTTGTGGGGAAAAAAACAGGATAGGGTAATACTAGATAGGCTGCTGTTTTGCTCGTGGGGGAGGAAAAGGAATAGGATTCATGTGGAATGTTCATTCAGCTTGCTGATACAGAGTTATTATGTAAACATGTTGAAGTTGATGTTAAAATGCATAGTCAAACAGCAAATAGATTGTGCTTTGTTTATACAGATTATCATTGCTGTAGTCAAGGTTTTGTTGAAATCAAAGTTTAAGGAACTAGTAAGGTGATGTAATTATTTGATCTGTTTATGAATTATGCTTTAGAATTTTGTAGAGCTATTTAGAGAAGACAGAAAAACAGTTCTATCCCATTATAACATATACTTTGTGTATACTATAATGCCTTCCAAAATGTCTGTATAATGAAAAGTGTGTGTGAATAATTGCACACTCATCTGCATAATAATTATAAAAATGGTGTCCTTTATTCTCTACAGTTAGTCATTCTTAAAATAGCAGAATTTGTTTTCCATACAGTAGTAACAATGGATTGATAATGTACATTTTTTATTATTAACATTTGTTTCTGTCATAGTGCTTGAAAAAAGTTAAAATGTGATCACAATAGAAATGAGAACTTCAGATAAATGAATTTAAATAAAGTAATTTAAGTATTATTTAAGTATAGTTAGACATAAGCAATATTCTTATCTTCAACATTAGATTTCAGATTCCCAAGGAAATGTCCTCCTTGTCCCTCATCAACTACTAATAGTTACGAAACTTGGAAATTAGAAAAAAATTCAGCGGTAAGTTTTAGAACTATATATGCTGTTATAACTAAGCTTAAACTAAGTCATGGTTATCAGTTTAAATATTCAGTTTGTTGATACCTTTAAAACAAATATAAATAATTTATGTTTATACAACAATTTATTACCACAACTTCTGAAAATTTTGCCTACAAAGTTCTCATACTAATTGCCATTCCAAATATAAAATATGTGATTTCTTTAATGGCCAAGAAGGATTTTCTTGTCTTAAGATACTTGGGAAGACAGGAGAGTAGGATCACAAGGGATCCTGTTTTGTATGGTTTAAGATCTTTGTAGTGTCTCTGAACTTGCTGCAAAAAAAAAAAAAATAGCATATAACAGATTATCTAGATATGGGTAGAAGTTGTTACTGTTGTTACTATTGTTGTTATTGTAATGTGCTATCATGTTGGATTTCGACTGTTAGCAACCACGTAAATAGATTTTCTCCATGATGATCTGTCCAGTTCAGACAGAGTGTGATTTGAATGTTTCTGAATTATTCCATAAAGAATTTAAAATCTTAATCATTTGGTTGTGGATACAGACATTAGTAGACGTTAAACCAGTGATAGTGAACCTATGACACACATGTCAAAGGTGACACGCCATGAAGTTTTCGGTGACACGCCAGCGTTCACCAACACCCAACAACTATTCTCCCTGTTATGTTATGAAAGAAACTGAA